ACAATCCTGCGACACTCGTAACGCAGGTGGAATTCGAGGCTTCCTCCAGGCAGATAACTGAATTAATTAAGTCTCCTGCAAATGAGGAGATACCCATGTAACAAAGGTGAATTAACACTAATTCACATTCGTACGTGTGATTCTGCCCGCGCGCGTTCTGCCGAGCTTACGGACCCGGAGCCCAAAAAACGAAGGAAAGCGAATTTCAGGTCGAGTAATTAAACCGAGGTAGAAAAATTCGCGGTAGACTCGTCGGCCGGAATTATCCACTGGGGGAATAAAAAATTAAATGACCATGCTGAGCGTTCCGTACGAGCTGTTCCCTCAACTATGATGACCTAAGTATGACGATACGTGCACTTATGTATATACGTGTATTTATGCTACAAATATTTTTATGCGTTTAACGTTTTGGAAACGTTAAACAGAGAAAATTTATTTTTGCGAATATATTTTCGAGTCAACGAAATTACTAGGAGAACGAGAAGAAAAAACGCGTTAAAAATAAAGAATTGCTTTAGTTCTCTAATAATATTAAAAAACGTATTTATTTCGTCAAAATTTTTATATACGAAATAATAAATTTAATGATATTATAATGTAAATAATTAATGCGCAAAAATATATATATATATTAAAAGTATTAAAAATAATCAAGACAACTTTTAATATATATTTTAAAGTATGCTTGTGTCAATAGAGAAATATAAAAGTTGTACGTGCAAAACAGAAGAAAATGTACTTACCTGTAAACTTGGATGGCATCCTAATTCCAATAATGTACGCACGACACCGGCATGACCTTTACTAATCGCGATATGGAGGGCAGTCAGACGTCTCTTATTTCTAGAATTCAAATCAGCTCCAGCACCTGCCAATAATGCCATCACACCAGATTCGTCTCCAAATGCTGCATAATGTACGGCTCTATCTCCATCTTTATCCTGAATACATTAAAAATTATTTACTTTTAATGTATTTCAATTTTTAATTAAATTCTTCAAATATATATTATCTTTTTTTTAAAAATAATTTCGAATATATTATAAATAAATATAACGTATTGAACAACGTATTAAAAAAGTTCTTACCTCAATTTCAACATCTGCTTTATAACGAAGAAGAATTTTAACAACTTCTAAATGACCATTTTGACTTGCAGCTTGTAAGGCGGTATGACCAGCAAATACACCATTTACATCAGCCTCAGGTCTTTTTAAACATTCTTCGCATTTAGCAGCGTCACCATTTGCAGCAGTTTTCACTAGTTCTTCGTTCACATCACCCGAGACATGTGTTTCAAACAATTTTTTCAATAATGCCGATAAACGTTCTGGAAAAAAAATGTTCAGAAATATTAATTCTTTTTTAAGTTCCAAAAATAAAAGAAATAAAATAAATATATTTCGATATTAGATATTTCTACGCACCTCCACTGCTATTCCCTGGTACACTACCATCGCTACTTGCAACTTTTGTAACTGCTTGAGGATTGTACGTCCAAGATGTACTACAAACTTCTACTTTTAAATCTCCATCGTGGTATATTTGCAAAACTCTACCAATCTTTCCCATAGTCTATAGGAATATAAATATTATTAAAAACAAGTTTGTAAATATATTAAAAAATGATTACTTTTAAATTTTATAATACATACCGGTGCCATTGCTTCGGCCCATTCCCCGTGACCACGTTGAAGTAGTTTTATTTTCTCTATATCGTTACATATCTGCACCAAATCACCAACCGCAAAAGTTTGATTATCAGAACTTGAACTGGTAACTGGTACTGGTATTTGTACTTTTGTCAATACGGCAGGATTAAAAGTCCATCGATTACCGCTTGGATATGACACGACAATGTCATGATCCTCGTCAATGCCAACTACAGTTCCCGTAGTACCGAGACACTCGAACATACCGTCAGTCCAACCACCATGACCGTGTTGTAACGACTGTACGATTTCCAACTCTAAATCAACAGTAACCTGTAATATAAAATAAATTTTATACATTTATAATATTAATTATAATACGTACAATATTTATTATAATTATAATTTAATAACCTGATCTCCAATTTGTAATCCATGAGGTCCAGTACGACCTGGTCCCTGTTCACCTAATAATGGCAAATGATCTCTATAAACCGTTTGACCTTTAGCATCATTAACAACTTTTAAATCCGCCTGAAATATTAACAATCGTTCTTTATTTATATATTTATTATTCATATATTTATATTATTATTTATTAATTATGTTTAGAACTAACCATTCCTTCGAAACCAACGCGATACAAATTTTTGGCACCATTATCCCAAATAACATAGGCTGCTGAACGTGGACTGGCTGCAGACCAATCTTGAATTTCATTAACTTTACCTCTTCTGCCATTTCCACCATCTTGATCTTCCCACTGCCAATCAACGCCTCTTACCACTCTTGCACCAGGAAATATACCACGAATTGCAATCTAATATTACAAAAAATATATATATATATTACATACTGATATGATAATAATAATGATAATAATAAGGTAATATATAAAAATATTAGTACCTTTTTACTTTTACGTCTGGGTTCCAATAATACTCTTTCACTTCCAGGTGTTGCTATACGATAAAATCTATGTCTTAGATGATGCTTATCTCCATGATAACAAATAGAACATAGGTCATAATTTCCACATTCTGCACATTTCCAACGAATTCCAAAAATTGGCTGTTGCCTACATGTATCACACATTGTTCCATCGTGTTTTACACCAGTTGGAGCTGAATCTAAGATTCTAAGATCAAATGCACCGGAACAACGATAATTAGCTGCTGTACCATTATCCCAAACAACAACAACCTCCTCTGGAGACTCAAAATTTCTGACAGTTCCAACATGACCTTCTCCTCCATCCTATTATATTAAAAAAATTATGTATAAATATGTATATTTGTTACATAAATATTCATCAATATATTAATATAAGAATTATGCAATCTTATGTAGAAAACAATTGTATAAAATATTTTTTATTAAAAGATATCATTTACGCGTATATTATAAAGCATACTAAACATAAGCAAAATTAGGCTAACACTAAATTAAATGAAATATCGAATATAATGTAATAACCTTAAAGAAACATGTATAAGCTTTTTTACAATGTTATGAAAAAAAATATTGTATCTTATATAAAAATATAAGCAGAGAAATATAAATACTATCGTTAAAATAACATTTTCTACAAATATAATATGATATTTTGGGTAAAAGCTACGTTAAAATCAGTTAACCTCTTGACTAACCTGTTTACCCCATTTCCATTCGGGTCCACGGATGACTCGAGCTCCGACACCCTCCATCATAAATCGCGTTGTACGAGTACCGGTACTCGCACCAGCTTCCATGATTCATTGGCAACAAAATTCAACTATAATACGAAAAAATTAAAGATCGCGATACTCCCACCATGGACTAACACTGAAAAATACCGCCATCTTAGACCAATGTCAAAACATGTAGTACCAATTTTTGAAAATGAAATATAAATCTTACATATTTCATGTATTAAATTTTAAAAATATATAATTTATAATATCATATCATATATTATTATTTTTATTACTACTACATTCTTTTATATGTTTTATTATTCAGTTAAATATTTTGATAGGATAAAATCTAGGGAATTTTATAATTTTACTCGTGTTATCAAATTCAATTTTATATAGTTATATTGAATAATATTCAATTTTATATTTGTCTTTTGATTATTTAAAGATTTCCTTTTGGGAAAAGTAAATAATTATTATAAATAATTATTATTAATTTATTAAAAAAATAAAAATAAATTTAAATTTGTTTTATTAAAATTTATTGTAATATTATAAGTTTATTATAATATAAAATTTATTTATAATATTTGTTGCACATGTTCAATCAGAATAATTTGACTAATTTTTAGATAACAAATAATTCAAAGTAAAAAATTTAAATATATATGTGTATCAATAAAGTATATAATATATTTTATATATAATATATTTTATAGAAACACAAAATAATTTGAACAATTGTCAAAAATATAAATGATTAATATTTTATAGAACATATAAAGGTATTAAATTTTCATTATATATGTCATCTTGTATATATTCCGAATATATATTTTTACGTTTACTAACAAACAGGTCACTGACTTCACAACTTTCTGTGATTTCATCATACTATCTCTTAATAACAACAGATTTTATTAATCCAAAAAAAATTCAAAATATACGTATAATAACATTTTAATTATACATAAATTCATAATTAATAATTTAAAAATTTAGAAAGCAATGCTTTTTACGCTTATAATAATTTTAAAATTTCAAAAAGAATGCTTTCTACATTATCAAGTTATATATTTACAACTACCATATCTTTTCAAACGAAAATAAATGATTTACCGAATTTCTTGCATCATACAGTTGAAGTGTCTGCTTAACGCCTTATGTATAAATTACATGATTAATATGAATAGATATTTTTTTGTTAGAATGAATAAAGATAGCTTGCTATTTACATTTCGAAAGAATACAAATAGTTTTCTTACGAACTATAGTTAGTATACTTTCCTAATAAAAACTATTAGAAAATTTAATTAAGTTAAATTTCAAATGATTATTAATATAAAATTTAATATATTTTACAAAAAATTTACTTTACAAATTTAATATTACTTAATTAATTATTTAAATAAACATAATAAATAATCAATGTTTTTTATTTAATCTTCAACTATGATAACATTATTTTTATATATAAGGATATAAATTCTCTATTATAATTTCATCAGAAATCAATGTTTTAACATTTCTAAAACTCAATATTTCATCGAGAAGTTGACGAAATTCTATCGTCTCTTGAATCATCATCATGAAGTTTCGATGCACTTGCACGCATGTATATTTCTAGACGAGCGTGTGGATTCGCGTGCCATAGGATACATATATACGTAAAACGCGTGTCAAGCTGACACTGATTTTATACTCGTCGTGATTTCATCAGAAGAACTTGCTCCAAATCTCATATTATGACAAAGTTCAAATAGAAGAATAGAAAATTGAAAATTGGGAAAAAATGGGAAATTGTTAAAAGATGTACATAAAATTTCGAATAGAAATCCCATAGAAAACCAGTAATACCAAAGTTATAGATGTAAAAAAAAAAAAACTTCTTATGTTGTACTTCTATGTATATATCTTCTTGAATTACGATTTAATCGTTTTTATTGCAATTTAAACAACTGGCTAACCATGAATAATTATAAGTCCTTGAATTTGCAATGTTGATGTTGAATTAAGTATATAATTTTATTGCATACGAAGAAATATCAAAGAAAAAAGATTGAGGAAAAATTGGATATTATTAATTATTATCATTCTATCTTTATTCATGAATAAAAAATTGTATTTTTCCTATTTCTTTGAAATTTATTTCTTATTTATCTCTATATTGTTTTGATAATATTCTGAAATAGATCGTTAAATAAAATAAGATTTTTGTTTAATCCATTTTACATATCAAATAATACAATTTAAAAAAGATTTAAAAAAAGAATCGAATCATTAAAACATCATTCAGTTTATCAACTATCATTATATACTATTTAATATTATATTAATAAAATTAAGTTTTGTTTGATAAGATCTAAAATCTTTCATTATAATAAGAAATATATAAATGAGATAACTTTCTTTTCAGTTTTAATAATATATACACTTAGAATTGCAAATTTTCATTACTAATTTTTCAATCAAAGAAGGAGATAAATTCTTTTTCTATGATAATGCAATAACTATTTCAACGAATCTTGAACAATCGAACAATCATAGAAAATCAAAGAAGTAAGAAAATTTTCCTCGTTTCATTCCTGTATTCATTCTTTTACACTTTCAATATCCTTACATTTCATTACATAAATATATTTGAAGATCAAACGATCTAATATAATCTAATAAAATTATTCCCAAATTATGTATATATATTCTCTTTATTTGGTATAAAAATTTCAAAAGAATCAACTTTGTTTTTTTCTCATCTCCTTCAATTTAACTCCCCCGAGACTTCGACAAGTTGCACGCTCGCTTCTAGAAAGAAATGTTTCCCGCATTTACGTAAGCCGGTTACGATCGGAGGGGAAGGTGGCCATCGGCGCCGCTTGTATCTAGCGGCTTGCTTTCGGGTGGACAGTCTTAATTCAGCTTCTGCACGAGCAGCTTCGTGGATTAGTTCCCTCCTGGTGCATCAAGTCAAGTCTTTATTTTTCACATCCTCTTTCTCTATACAACTATATACCCTTCGACAGATTTATCGTCGCACCGTCGCACAATAATCGCGGCGCCCGAAGCTGCACCCAATCTTTTATTTTCTCTTTATCAAAAGTCTCTCTCTCTCTCTCTTTCTCTCTCTTTCTCTTTCTCTTTCTCTCTTTCTCTCTCTCTTGAAAACGGGAAGGGAAAGCGTAGTAGTACTCTTACCAAGAGTATTAAGATAATTTATTTAGTTTAATAATACGCGAGACGACAAGCAAGTTTTCGTTTATTTATTTATTATTCCTCGAGAATATTGTATTAGTTAGTTAGTAACCGACTCGATTTTATTTACCTGCCTGAAACACGGGAAGCCCATCGACGTGTATACACGATTCTTCCTCAATGTACGTACTTATTATACTTGTTTCATATTTTTCAAATTGCTGCTTATTTTTTCACGGATTTATGCCAATATGAGATAATTTTTCTCATACAGCGTTTATTTTGACCAGCTGTTGCGTCAGATTTATCGAGGATAAATTTGACACACGATTAGATCTGTTTATTTCTTTAGATTATTTTAGGAGAAAAATTGAAAACGAAGAAATTGAAAATTAAACGATAAAGTTAAGTTATTTAATAATTATTGGATTAATTAAAATCTCGGATTCATTCGTAATATACGAATTAATAATAATATTTTTGGAAAATAAATTTCAACGTATTTTTGAAAATACATCGTACTTTGTACGTGTATGAGGCCATAATATAAAATGAAAAATTCGATGCATAACATGTAAACAAATAATGTTATCGAGTTGAGACGCGTGGATATGGTGTTAAGTCGTAAAATATACAATTTAATTTAAAAGCAATTAAGCATAGACATATACATAGTAATATCTGCTCGTGCAATAGCAGATTGAAAAAGTCTGATGATAATTTTAAATGCGAGCATAATCATTTCACTTCTTGACAGTAATGATAACATTAGTTAAAAAGATTAAAATTTGCGAGATAAGAATTCTAAATGCGTTCTATCGAAGGTTTATTACATCACACACAAATACATGTATATAATACATGTATATATAATAATTTTATTATTATTTGATAATTTCTTCGAAGCTTAAATAACTGTACTACAGTTTTCCTATTCTTTATATTTCATTAGATTTCAAGGAGCTTCCTGTCAGCAATATGCCGAGTAGTAAAACAAGAATCGCCATAATTGGTGGCGGTGTCGCTGGATTGGTGGTTGCTCGCCATACAACCGCCAAATTGGATACTTACAGTGTTACATTATTCGAGCAAACCGATCAAGTCGGCGGAACTTGGATCTATACTGACGAAACTGATGTCGATAAACATGGATTACCGATTCACAGTAGTATGTACAAAAATCTAAGGTGAGTTTGAAAATCCTTGCTATTTTTCACTCGTAGTTTAACATCCTTTTATATCGTTTTCTCAATTCTTCGGAATAATAATTTTCAAGCTTATATCATATTTAAAAAAAATTAATATATTTAATATTAATATATTTAAGAAAAATTAAAACAGTTGCAAAACATTTTAATTGGAGAAATAAATTTTAAATTGATTTAGCTCTTCATATACTTATAATTAAATATCATAATTAACAAAATATTCTGAGAAAAACCTGTAAAGAAATTTATTATTCTTAAATTAGTTTTTCGTAAGGAAGAAATTAAATTAAATCGAGAAGAATCCAAAATAATTTTAATAACGAAAGTGTGTACACGCATCGGTGTATCGAATGAAGTGAAAATCTTAGAAACCTGATCGAACCGCATTCACTCCTGTTATTCGGAACGATCATTCATCATTCAAGCTCACGTTAAAAGATTGTATTTACTCATACCGCTTACACAGTGATCGGGACAGTGATTCAGTGATTCATATGCATCACTACGTAGACACTATCGTTCTCGATATTGCTGCAACCAACAGACATACTGCCGCCTTTGGGCATTTCAATATCGAAATCGGCATGGCGTGACATTTTGACGGGAAGGAAAAAAAATTATTCGCGGTAATAATTAGGGGAAACCAGTAATGTTTACAACGTGAATCGAGGAAAAATCTTTGCTCGAGAACGACAAGCTTTCACTTTGCGGGCAACATTTGAAAGTATCGGTATATGTATTTTTCACGTTCAGAAGATATAATTAAAATGTACGTGTAAACACGTAAGAATTTAATAACGTGTCAAAAAAAAATGATCCGCGATAGACGGATAATAAATTTCTTTTGGGGTAAACATCAAGAAGGGTGTTTCCTGTTTGATCTACTTCTATTCAAAACAACTTATGAAATGAAATGAAATTTTCTTCCCGACGACGAGTTATTTTCTTAATGAATTTTGCCATGATGGAAAGCCAATATGGGAATCTAAATTGGATCCAAGACTTGAATAGACCCAGTGAAATATTTCTAACAATTAAAGAATAATTAATAACGTATAATAGTTACGTAATTGAATATAAAGGCAGTAAATAGCTTTCATAATAATGAATCATTCGAATCGGAAAGGAATAAGATGATCAATGGTTTTCGTTTCATTTCTATTTCCATACCATGTAATGGGAATAATTGCGTTTTACCCAGTCGAGATAAACTTTGCTGACATGAGATACGCTTCTTAACATAATAAAACAATCGGTTTAGCAAATTGTTTCGGTATAAAAAAAAAAAATAATAATAATAATAATAATAATTTCGATGCTTATATCGATATCTAAATAAATCGATTAATATTGTTCAAATTGCATCGAAATCATTGTGGATACGTACAAATGTTCTTCTATATAAAAAAAAAAGAGAGAAAAAAAAAGAAGAAAAAAAAGAAAAGGAAAAAAATAGCACTTTTCAACAGCTAGATATTTCATGAAATGTATGATAATATTTTTGTATCGGTTAGCAATAAATATTATGAAACGTAGGAAAGACCTTGAAGATATTGAAACGATCATACTCGGATTCTACGATGATAGAATAGTGATTTAGTCAATTTAGAAAATGATATAATGATCTTCTCTCAGTAATAACAATTTATTTATTTGATCATTATTCACACAAATCCTTTAATCAAATATATTTTTCTGGCAATAAATAGAAGGAATCGCTCTCAATAATTCAGAATTAATGAATAAGAGGAATTATTTCAGAATTTATTATAGTATAGCATAATAATATAGTATGCTTTATGTCGTATGAAAGTTATAGTTCATATAAGCATTCACAATGATTTATGTGTTTATACGTTTTAACGTTTTAATATTAAGGCTAACATCATTATGTAAAAGGAAGCATCATTCTGTCATAAATAATGTGTTGTGCATGTTTCTCTTATCGAGTTTGATAACGTAATCGGTATAATATAAATTAAAATAATAATTGATATATTTTTATAAATATTAATATATAATCGTTTAATCTCCATTCATTTAAGAGTAATTTTGTTAATGAAATATATGTATTACAGGACGAATCTTCCAAGAGAAATAATGCAGATACCCGATTTTCCAATGAAGGAGGACGAAGGATCGTCATTTGTTCATCACAGCATAATTCGAGAGTATCTTTGGGATTATGCAAAACATTTTAATTTATATCCACATATTAAGGTAATGGAATAATTTTTAAAAAAAATTTAGCTCGAATTAAATGATTATATTTTTATCATTTTATCATTTTATTTCCAGTTGAACACATTGGTGAAACACGTAGAGCCAGAAACTTTACGAAATGGCCAGACGATCTGGATGATCACGTATCAGGATTTAGAAACTAACGTGGAAACGACTAGAACGTTCGACGCCGTTGTCGTGTGCAATGGTCATTACACCGTAGGACACATTCCACACATCCCAGGCATCGAGAGTTTTCCTGGGGAATCCATACACAGCCATCAGTACAGAGTGCCGGAAATGTTTGCCAGGAAGAAAGTTTGCATTCTGGGTGCATCTTGGTCTGGTATCGATATCGCAATGGAAATCTCTCAATACGCCGAAAAGGTAAACTTTGCTCGATATTACGTTATTTACATTACCCATAAAAATTATACATTTTGAATTTTTTCATATGAATAAAAAAAAAATAAAACACACACACACAGATATATTTAAGCCACAATCTACCTGAAAGTGTTGGCTCGCAAATGTCGAACGTCGTAGAGGAGAGGCCTGGAATCCAATCGATTCAAGGAAACATATTCATCTTCCGCGATGGTTCCACTGCAGAAGTAGACAACTTCATATATTGCACCGGTAAAAAGACTTGATCTCCTTCGTACATATAAGTGATCGAGGTATCCCAAATTATACATAAACGAATGATGTCAGGGCCCTGTCGAATTCTCTTCAGGCCTGAATTGAAAAAAATCTACGATAATGTTATTACTTTATTTTTTCTTTTTTTTTTTTTTTTTTTTTTAAGCAGAAAACGGGATTCGATTTCGGTCCCGGAAATTCTTTAAAACCCCACTTTCCTCTCCCTTTTTTTTTTTTTTTTTTTTTTAAGCAGAAAACGGGATTCGATTTCGGTCCCGGAAATTCTTTAAAACCCCACTTTCCTCTCCCTTTTTTTTTTTTTTTTTTTTTTAAGCAGAAAACGGGATTCGATTTCGGTCCCGGAAATTCTTTAAAACCCCACTTTCCTCTCCCTTTTTTTTTTTTTTTTTTTTTTTTTTTTTTTGATTAATTATCAGATTTCTTTTTCCATTCTATAAATTATTAACACTCCAAATTTTGTCTCTCGGTAGGACCCTGACCTTCTCGTTCCAATTTTCAATACTGTATAATTTCGACGAAATATCAATGTTTTCAGGTTATAAATTTACGTATCCCTTTATGTCGACTAAAGTTGAGATGCGTACGGACGACAACCACGTCGAGCCGATTTACAAACACCTGATACACATGGATTATCCGAATTTATTCGTGATGGGATTGCCCGGAATAGTAATTCCATTTCCCATGTTCCATCTCCAAGCTCAATATATTTTAGGTATTTTGGAAGGTCAGATCAAACTACCTTCGACCAAGCAAATGTACGAAGAGTACGAGAAGGAGAAGAAAGCTCTGCTTGATAGTGGAATTCCGGTATACATTTCATTAATATGTGTATAATGTTTAATATTTTTTGATTGTATAACCATAATCAATTATCGGCATTAATTACGTGATAATTTAAAAAAAAAAAAAAAAGAAAAAGAAAAGACTAAGACCGCTTGTGTGTTTACAGTTAAGGCATATCGTCAAACTAAAGGAACGACAATGGGCGTACTATGATGAAATAGCCGCGGCTGCCAAAATTCCAAGCTTCCGTCCAGTAATCAAAAAGATCTACGATCACTCGAACGAAATGCGCGAGAACGATTTCACCACTTACAAGAATTACCAATATCGCATAATAGACGATGAAAATTTCGTAGCTTGTTACTGTAAACCTTGTTAAGGCTTAAACGCGAGAACCAGATATTTCAGATAATTGATCATTTTGAACTGAATCAAAGTTCGCAATTGCTTCGCATTCTCTGTGTGATACTGCTTGCTCTTTTTCTTTAATTAAAAAGCAAAAGCACGTCAGCGTCTTTATTTGTCGGGCCAGAAATGTTAGTGTATACATTGTCGACGTAAAACAATTCGTAAGACGCTAGAAACTTCGTACGCGCAAATTCTTTTAGCGTTTCGCATACTTCTTTACCGAGTAAAGCGTGTGTCGAGACGAGAATGAATACATATTACGAAATCGAATGCATTAAGTAATGCTTGTGGGTATAGAAATGCGTTTGATGCATTTAAGTGTCATTTACAAGATACGTTTCAACGCGATTGCGAAAATTGCACGTGTATGTGCATAAAGAACGCGTCAATTGTATTGTATTGTATTACTTATATCGATTAAAAACATGAACATTGTACATTGTACAAACTATTAAAAAAATATATATATATATATATTTTTACAAATGAGATAAATACTTATATGAACGTAAATAACAGATTAAATTACTATGATATAAATAAAATTATTCTCATTGCAAATTTAAATTGTTGTTTCTATATTTTATTCATTTATAAAATTAAAAATTAAAATATATTATATTATTTCATTAAATATAGAGTTAGTAAGTAAAATATAGATAATAGTTTTCGTAAATAAATTTAAATTATTGAAAATTATTTTAGAAATATTTAATGAGCGAAAGAAATATTAAATTTAGTATTTTAAACTTCGTTTGAATTTCGCGGCAATTTGTAACAAATGAGAAAAGCGCGCGCTTCTGCTCATTTAGTGGTGACATTTGAAGTGATTGGTCGCATAACCTAAGTGTAGAGTGAAAAATATTTTATTTTTACATAAATAAATTCCAACATTGTTAGAATAAATGGAAAATATTCAAAGCAAAAGTACTGTTGCATCAGAAGAAGAAACAGTACAAGAAAATCATTATGTTCCGGAAGAAGAGAAAGTTGAAAAGACGCTTCTCAATGTTGAAATACTTGATGATGCACCAGCACCAGTTTATCAAATACGTCCGCATTTACATGAGAAGTACTCTCATTAATTACATATATTCTTTATTTTTATATTTTATTTTGATTGATTAAGAAATTTTTAACAATTTTGATACGATCTTTTTAATTACATGAAGTTTATTAAATTTGCTTAATTATTTTTAATGTTCTTTCACAATCAATGATTTTTTTATTCTATATATATTCTATATGTTTTATTATTTATTATTCCATATATTATTTTAATTATATTTTATTTGTATTGAATTTAACAATACAATTGATAGTGATTGGTATTTAGTGGTTAGAATCATAAAATTCTTCTTAGAATTTTCAATAGTTTAACAAAATATATCTTGATTAGTGTATGATGTGAAATCAAACAAGTATTTTCGATATAGATTTAAACCCATGAGCGCTAAAGAAGTTATACATACCGTATTATTTGATCAGCTTTCTGAAAAAACTTATAATGCTCAAGATGCTATTCAATGGACTAAAGATATAGCAGATATAATTAGAGAAAAAATTAAAGGTGAAGTTTCTCTTCTTGGTTTAGGATTTCATTGAATAATAGTTAAATACAATCAACTAATTTTAAATATCGAATAATTTATTATATAATTCTAGAATTAAATTTTAATCGTTATAAATATATCGTAAATGTGGTTTTGGGTCAACAATATGGTGCTGGGGTAAAAATGGGAACAAGGTGTATTTGGGATGCAGAAGCAGATACATATGCATATGATAGTTTCTTAAATGTAAGGGTCATAATTAATTTTTTAAATGATTGTACAATTACGATATTTGGTTAGAAATATAATTGGTAGATACATTTTCAAATAAAAATAAACACTGTTAAGGACAATACAATATTTCATGAAACATTTAGTATTAATGAAAAAGATTTAAAATATTTGAGAATAAAAGTCTTAAAAAATAATTAGATAAGTAGATACAAATATAATAACATTTTTTCAGGATACAATATTCTGTGTGGCTACTGTGTACGCTGTATATTATTATTAGAAAGTGTTTACATATTTTCAAGTATGATGCCAGAAATATTTATTATGATTGTAGGATTTTAAAATGATACAAATGGTGGAAGAATAAATATATTATTGATTCGATGGAATAGATGTTTCATTAAAGTAGAAGTTACTATTATTTATTAATACATATTTTATAGAATTATAATGGCACTTTTAATTGGCAATTTTTACATATATTTAAAAATATTTATATTCACGTATTTTATAATGCACATATTCATTTTTTTTATGAAAGTGCATTATATTTACATGTCTTTATTTACTAAAATTATTATAGCACCATAATTCACGGTATTATTTCATAATTATAAAAATTTTTAAACACGATTGAAGGCACTTTGATATATAATTATGATTTTTACTTATATTTAAATATAAATATTTAAATTATTCTAAACTATGAAAAACATATCTTGTGCCTTAACAAATTTTCAAAGTTCTAAAAGTCTTATAAACTCTATTATAATTTTTGTTTAAAATTCTACAATAATATAAGTATAGTAATATAATAACTATGTAAGAGTTTATTATTGCATTTTCTTTATTTTGATATCTTCAATTTTTGGAGAAATTCATTAAAACTATTTTTGATCTTATGAAATCTTAATAAAAGTATGTAAAATATTTAGTTCATAACAAAGCATTTTTGTATATAAATATTATGTATTATATAAAAAATATGAAACATAGAATTTATATAAGAAATATAAGAGTATTTTTATAATAAAGTGAATAAAAAAATAAATAAATTTTTTTTATTCCTACGAACGCAATAAATGAGGATATGATTTTATACTAAATAAAATCCAATTATATAATATATACAATAGGATAAAAACAAAATATCGTTCGTATAATTTATTTTAATTTTTTGTTTTATTAAAAATTAAAATAAAAATAATAATATAGCTTTACTGTTTGCAAAAATTATTTAATATGAAGATAGTAATAATTAAAAAAAGATATTAAAAATAAAATAATAACTATGATACTACATTTCATTTCTTTTAATTATTACTCTTTCAAATTAAAATTATATCAAGTTTTAAATGTGTATTTATTTATCGATATAATTATCGATATATATATATATACATACATAATTGTTGACAAACAGGAAATCAAAAAAATATTTGAAATTTTGCTAATTATTTCGTAACTTCTTAAGATTATTTTTTTTTTTTTTTTATGTTAAAATTTTTTTTCTACACATATGACGGAAGACTGGTCAATTCTGACGCGCGATCATTTATAATAACATGACTAATAGATTCCTTGATCATTTGAAACGTATTAATATTAATATTAAAATAAGTTACATAATTACACATGGCAAGGCACAGCAAAGTGGTAGGCAAACGGGTACGACTGCTTTGCCGCTGCTCGATTTCGTTTTACTTTTTGAAGACGCTTCGTATTCGTATTTTCCCTTAGCTTTTGCCCATCCTCCCTATAACATGTCATTTTCATTATTTTCATCGTATTAATTCACTACGCGTAACATGAAAATATTCTTGAAAAATTGGAACCAGAATTAATTATCAATATTCATTATAAAATACATACTTTATATCGTAACAGCAAGAAAATATTATTCTTGAAAATAGGCAATGTACTTACACCAGCCTGCGACATAGCCGCGCTATATTCTTCTTTTTTAGTAAACTCTGCAGCTCCTGGAGGATAATAAACCGGAGGTCCTGCGACATTTTTACTTTTCACTTTCGGCGGTGTGTGGGGTACAAAGTCGACTTCCTTTTTCACTGCCGGCGAATCTTTCTGTTGTTCTTTTTCCCTTTTTTCGATATCTTCCAGTACCTCGCGCTAAAAAAGAAAATAAATAAAATTAAAATAAAAACAATTTGTCGTTGCAGGACAGATTGCGGTAATATTGAAAACAATCGTCTCTCCCCCCCCCCCCCTTACCTCCGTGTCGGAAAACGACGCCATAAGATCTTCCAACTTTTTAGGAGGGGTCTGCACGTTGTTAACAGGCTTGGCTCGAACATCCTCGACCGGGAACGGTTTAGGTAACAAAACCTCGTGGTCTTCGGGGTTCTTGTTCGGTGGTATCGTTGTGGTCGTGTTCGATAATTTATATATAGTGGTGGATTGCGGCTGGGCGCTAGATTGTGGTGGCGATGTATAATAATTAACCGGTGTTCCCGGTTTATCAGGTGTCGGGTGTCGTCCGCTGGACGGTGGCCGGCTAGGATAATGTTCCTCGATTCGATTTATAGTTGTGTGGGTCTCGCTTACGTTCGGCGGTTGATTCTGGTAAATCACCGTGGTTCCCGGATGATCGCCGCCCGGATGATATCCATTCGGGTGCGTACCGTCCACTTGATAATACTTCTCGTTTCTCGTGATCGTCGTTTTGTTCTCTATGGGTGGCGAGCCAGGGTGATAGGACGTGGTCGTCGGGTGACTCGTCACCCTGCCACCGTGATGTTCCTCCCGATAGAATTTCGACTCTTGGTGAATCGTGGTGGATTTCTTGGTGACGTCCGCTACAGGTGGCGGCGGGCTACTGTATCTGGCCGGGGTTTTAGACGGCACGTTCTCGGTCACGGTTTGATAGGTGATCGTTTTGTCTGTGGTCGAGGTGGTTCCCTTCGGTATCGTGTACGTGATGGTTTGATCACCTGGCAACACCACGGTTCCTGGCACGTTGCCACCTGGTAGATAGGTTTCAGGTGGCCCTGGCAACTCGTACGTGTACGTCTTGATGGTGGTCGTCACTTTCGTGTTCGGACCCGGTGCCAGGTTGATGGGCACCGCTGGCGTCGGCGATGGAACTGGGATGTACTCCACGTTTCCGTATTCTTGGGCCGCGCTCGTCGTGTGCACGGTCGTCACGGTATTTTGTTGTACCGGTTCTGTTTGGTAACCTAGGTTATTTTTTTTTTTTTTTATTATTATTATTAAGTCGTGGAATAAACGAAACAAATTTTTCCCGTCCCTCGAAAATTATTTTTAACTCGCTTACCGCTCGAAGATTCTGCGTGAATGTATTTGACGTCCCTTTGAGCAGCCGGGAGAGGGGAAGTTTGCTTGGAACGAGATGTAGAACTGTCGCTGTACACCTAAAACGCGGCCATTCTTTTTTTTATATTTTTTAATTCGTACGTCGTACGTAAGTTTTCGACGCGTAAAAATTATCGCGGGAGACAAAGTACTCACTAGTTCTCTGTTCACAGATTTGCCAACCGGTTCTAAGCCACGTTGCATTGTGCTTTCTTCGTAGGTCCTTTCTCGAATATCATCGCTGCAAAGTGTGTAACGTTACACGATGTATCACAATGTGAAATAAAACAATGTTGCCGGTAACATAATATTTAAATGCACAATTTCACGATCGTGAAAAAAATAAAAAAGGGGAGAACGGAATAGAAATATCATCTTGATTTTAACGATCGAACAAGTTTAGTTTCTCTAAACTTTAACAAATGATACGCGTATAATCTTGTTGGCAACGATGCGATAAAGTAATTTTAGTATTTTCGTTCGCTTTGAGAAAAGAATAGCACTTACATCATAGCAGCACTGGTGTTTGTTAACGCATTGTCGACCGTCCATGAATCTGAAATGCGGTAAAAGGAAGTTTAATTTGATTAATTTTAAAAAATTATTATTATTATTATTATTATCCCCCCTTCCAATTTTCTGATTCAAAGAGTTGAGAGAGATTTCAAAGCGAGCTCCTCGCGAACGAACGACCATCACCCAGTAACCCAATGACAATGGGCATCCTTGCTCCTCAATGTCACCGATTTTTCGATTCGATTCAGGGTTTCCATTCTTTCTCTTCTTTTCCTCCTCTCCTCTCCGAACGTCCGAAGCCTGGCGGAGGGACGGAGAAATCGGGTCAACCTTCTGTTATACGCAACCCTAATATGGATATGGTTGTGTATCGTGTGTTACCGCAAAGAACACACACACACACACACACACAC